TGGCCAACCACGGCGGAGAGCCACGCGCGGCTGAAATTGCATTGGAAGATCTCTTTGATAAGTGGTCGCTCTCAAAAGCTGAGCCGCCAAAGCAGATGGAGGGTGATCAGCAGTGGCCCCGTCAGTTGTACACGGACAAGCAAAAGGCTATCTTGCACCGAGCTCTTCTCGAGCTAGGCGCCAAGCACATGGGGAAGCAAAAGCTGATCTTCTGGCGGAATCCAGATGGGGTTTGGTCCACGTGTGCGATCAAGCAGGGTCAGCTTACATTGGTCCCAGTGGCACCGTTGGTCAACATAAGCTCGAAGAACGCGTCTAATGTGTCGGGCATACCGCTTGGCGACAGCGCGATTGACAGTGGTGCGCCGCTTCATTTTTTGTTTTGCCTGTGCCGAAGCCAGGCGACAACGGCACCAGCAAATTTGATGAAGCCGCGTTCGTGGCTGCGTACTGGTGGGTCGCGACAGCATGCGATAATAAGCAAGCCAACATGGCTACGAGCCGCGTGTCCCACGGTGGCATCATGCTGCCAGTGCTGACCAACATTGCCGACGTCGGGGCGAACGTAAAGCTCCAGGTGTTCGTCGAGCCCAAGGCTAAGGCTGTGCCGGTCCACGAGGAGAGCGCCAATAAGCAGAGGAGGTCGTAAGCATCGCATTCAGCGCGGATGCTACATCAGGGGTGTGTTTTGTATCGCACGCGTTGCGTTATCCCAAGCTCTACGATTGAACCAGTCCAGCACTATGCAGTGCTATAGTCCATATGCTGCCGCGCCGTAGATAGGGGATGGGGCGGGGTGGGGTGGGGTGTGGGGGGGAGAAGGATGACATGAGACGAGGATTGGGGGCTGGGCGAGCTGTCGCACCGTCGGCCAGCACGAAGCTTTATGCATTGATACGTGCATGCGGGCATGCCGATCAGCCAGGCGCTTATTAGGCAATTGATGCGGTGTTCTTGCGAGTAGCCATCGCGCCAGCGCCGTCAGAAACAAACGCAGTTCGAATCGGCTGTGCCCGATGCTGTCCCACTCTGGAGCTTCAAGGGGTAGCAGTGGCCATGTGGGAGGAGGTGGGGGGATGGCGAGATTTAGCAAGGTGTAGATACGATTGCGTTTTCTCATTTGCTCGGGCGCAGCGAAGCGCGCTTCTGACTTTGCATCGGGCCTGAGGGGCATAGCCTGCCCACCTTTGCCGTGCAGCCGTCTGCCTGGCGCGCCCTGCCCTTGGATCGCTATGCCCCCCCCCCCCCCCTCAGCAATGTTTTGGCTGGAACAACCGAGCGGGGAATAACGAGAGGGAAACGCGGAATACACGCAGGGGAAATGGGAAGGATGAAGGAGGGGATGAAGAAGGTATACGGGGTAGGCAGTGCACGGGAAGCGGGGGGGTACACGGGGGGTGTGGCATGGGGTACAAGGGGCACGGGAGTTGGGTATGGGGCATGCGGGTGGTGTATAAGGGGGTAGTACCTACCGTGCACCCCCCCCCCTTTTCCCCCGAATCTTCCCGTGTGCCCCGTGTGCCCCCTCCCGTATGCCCCCGGCGCGCTATGTGCCTCCCGTGCGCCCCCATGCCCCCTCTCCTTCGTCTCCTGGCCCCGTATGACGTTGCCCCCTGCGCGTCGCGCTTCTGCGAACCGTAGCCGCGCAGGCTCAGGGGCAACCGAGCGTCTAGCATCACGATTTGCTCATAGCAATATGCAGACAGCTACGCTTGAACTTTCTCGAACTGTCAAGGTGGATGGGCTCAGGCCAGTTTGGCGGATTTTCAAGCCACATGCTGTGACTACAGTGGGTGACGATACGTTTGTCCGAATCATACCAGCGCAGTATACATTGAACAGCCTTGTGGCTTATGCTAATGATGGAGTCCCATCGGGACTGGGGCAACAGGCCGTAATTTTGAGTAGGGGGCTGAAGGTGTTGCTAGCCCAGCGGGATCAGCAGCAGTTGGATGACTTCGCGCAGGAGCAGGAGCAGCGCGTGTGCAGCTTGTTTAAAACGCCACCGAAACAATCAAACATCGTCAAGTCCCACGCCCATAAGGCTGACATGAGGCGGGATCCTAAGGTCATGTGCTTGGACGTGGAAGTTAAAGGACGTGCTGTTCAAGTTGAGGTTCTGAGGCCTATTCATCCGTGTGACAACCTCTTTGTAGTGTATAAACCTGATGCTTTGGCCGCGGTGATACACATCATGAGGGGAATGGGGTTCGATGAACCGCAGGAGCGAGAGCCGGTGCCCAAGAATGTTCACAAGAGAAGAGGTTTCCCCGAGTGAGCTTCCCGACGACGGCGCGCCTGCGGACTCAGAGCCAGGTCGTGGCTGAATTAGTTGTGAGCCACGTGGCTACCCGTGCCCGCATGCCTGGGGTCTGCGGGCTTCGCAATTCTATATGGATCCGTGCTGTGTCGATTGAAAAAGTCCTCAGACTACATGTGGGCACGTCAAGCCGCGTGGCTGCATGGGCGCGTGTCCGTAGCCCATCGGGCTCAGGATTCAGCGCACGCGCGCGCTCGATAGCTTCTCGCTTGCTCGCGCACTGACTTTCAAGGCTCCGGGGCCCGATATGGCTCCGAAGAGGCGCGCCCCAGCTGGCGGCGTTGTCGATGCCAGCGTGGGCGCCGAGGTCGACCGCTTCAAGGTGAAGACCAGTGCCTTGATGAAGGACCGTGCTTTTTGGAAGGAAAAAGCCCTGGGGCTCGAGCGCTTCGTCGCTGTCGCGGCAAACGAGTCGGAGCAGAACAAGCGCGCGAGGAAGGTATTCGTCGATGTCAGGCGGCTGTGGGTCGGCGCCTGCACCGTGGGCGCGCAGACCAAACCGACGCAGCTCGGCAGGCTGCAGCGCGTCGCGGAGTTGCCCGAGGTCTTGCCCGGCGCTCGAGCACGGCTTTGGCGAGCTGCCGAGAGCTTTCATTCGCCAGCGCGCGGGAGTGGCACGCCATATCCATATCGCGTAGCGCTCGAATGCGCTTCCACGAGCGTCCGTGCGCTTCCAGTTAGCGGCTCCAGCGTTGACGCTGATCTCTCGAGCGTGGAAGTTCCAGCCTCACGCTGAACTTAACTTTTGCATGCCGTCGTCATCAGGTGTCCTGATTGCTGTGGCTCTCATCCCCACGCGTCGTTGCATCATGTTGTCAACAACACAGGGCGGCCGGCGCTCTGATGTCACCAAAATTGGGGCCTCTTGGTGCCAAGCGTGAATTATACACATCCTGAACGCATACCACCAACACATGGAGCCCTGCGCCCCGATGCCACAAAAGAAACGCTTTCTTGGTGCCAAGTCTAGATAATACACACCCAGAACACACCACCAAGACAGGGCGCTCGGCGTTCCGTGTCACAAAATATTCGTTTGTTTGTGCCGAGCGTAGATTATACACACCCTGAACGCACACCACCAACACCGGGCGCCCGGCTCTCCGCTGTCACAAAATCTTCCCTTTCTTGGTATCAAGTCTAGACAGTACACACCCTGAACGCACACCACCGACACAGGGCGCCCGGCGCTCCGCTGTCACAAAATCATATTTTTCATGGCGTCACGCGTACATTATACACATCCTGAACGGGCACCACCAACACAGGGCGCCTGGCGCTCCGATGTCACAACGTTTTCGTTGTTTGGGCCAAGCGTGGACTATACACCCTTGAAACGGAGGGGGAGGGACGTATTCTTGGGAGGAGAGGAGGAGGAGGGATGAGGCAGGAGGGTGAGGAGGAGGGAGGCAGGAGGGATAAGAGGAGGAGGAGGATGAGGGCAGGAGGGATATGAGGCAGGAGGATGAGGCAGGAGGGAAACGGGAGAGGGGGGATGAGGATATGAGGACTGGGAGAGGTGGGGGGAGGGAGGAGGGAGGAGGAGGAGGAGGAGGAGGAGGAGAGGAGGGAGGAGGAGGAGGAGGAGGAGGAGGAGGAGGAGGAGGAGGAGGAGGTGGAGGAGGAGGAGGAGGAGGAGGAGGAGGAGGAGGAGGAGGAGGAGGAGGGATGAGGCAGGAGGGATGAGGCAGGAGGAGGAGGATGAAAGAGGCGGGAGAAGGGAGGCGGAGGGGGAGGAAAAGGGAAGAGGGGCGAGGGAGGAGGTGGGAGGGGCAGGATAGGTGCGCTCGCGTCATATCAGACGTCCTACCCCTCCCTCCCATCCCTTACCATTGCCTAGAGTTTAGATCCCCTCTCTATTCGCAGTCGGATAACGAGCAAGGCGATGATCTCGGGAGGGCGCGTGCGCGATGCGTGGAACAGCATGGCATAGCATGGCGCAGAAGAGCACGGCAGAGCGTAGCGTGCCATAGCATGGTGTGGCATTGCGTAGTCAAGCACTGCATGTCAGAGCGTTGCAGCGCAAGGCATGGCATCGCATAGCGGTGCACAACACAGCATCGCAATGCACGGGAGACCGATTTGGAAGGACCGAAGCGCGGGAATGAGGCCAGGATCGACGGAAAGGAGGCCAGCGCTGCAGCGGGAGCACGATTGGGAAGGACCGAAACGCGGGAAACAGGCCAGGACCGCAAAGGGGAATGAGGCCAGCGCTGCAGCGGGAGCACGATTTGGAAGGACCGGAGGCGATGATGTCTTTCACGGCCAGCTCGGACCCAGGAGGATCCTCGATCCTCGAAGTTCGAAGATCGAGGTTTTTGGAGGTTGTGTTGGCCCCTTGGGGGCCTCCAGAGGCCTCTGGGGGCTTCCGGGGGCTTCGGGGGGCTTCCGGAGGCCTCGGACTTGAGGACATTGTATTGAACGCCTACGGCACGGTGGGCGGATATGGTGACATCCGATTTGGCGCCACGTGTGTGGCGCTGTGTGCACAGTTGCACCTTCCCGAAATGTAATATATCAGCATGGGGTCGAGGGCCCTGGTCGCGCATATGCCACGGCGCGGCATTCTTTCAAGACGTCGGATGGCTGGAAAGTGCTAATGGTTGTAGCAGTTTGCGTCCTTTGATTTCGTGGATCATCCCGCGCACCTGCATCCCACAAATGGGCAAATCGTGCACTCCACAGTGGTGATGGTTTTGGTGATGATTCTCGTCCCCGCTTTCCTTCCTCTACACATCACGACGTCCATTACCCATGCCTTCTTCCTTCTCCTCTCCGTTCTCCTCGCTCTCCTCGTCCTCTTCTGCAGACTGTTTGGCTCCAGCAGGGCCTTCGCAATCTGAAGCACACCCGCACATTCTGCGTACATCCTACAACTTCTGGTCGGATCACCTGTCCCGCAGATGGCCCGTCTCTTATTGATTGCCAGTCTTGTCGGGGCGCGCGGGGCCGCTGGCCTGGGTGCGGCCCCCGCCGATTCCAGCATGATACAGTTTGGAACAGCTGTGGACAAGAGCAACACCTCGCAGCAGAGAACGGCAGCGTTCGCGCCCGCGTGCAAAATCATATCTGGAGAGAGATCTTGGCACTGGGAGCGCGAAGCCCGCGTAATTTACAAGGGAACGTGGCCCTGGGAGCGTGCATCCGTATACATATAACGGCGCACCGCGTCCGGGGGCCCGGGGGGACCTCGACCGCAAATGAGATGGCCCAAGAGGGCCCCAAGACGGGCCCAAGAGGGGGTCCAGAGGGGGACCACGAACCGCAAGCTCGAGCCTTCCGCCCCAAGAGGCCGCCAGGAGGCCCCCAGGAGGCCCCTCAAGAGGCCCCAGGAGACCCCAGACGTCCAAGGACGCCCCCAAGACGCCCCAAGAAGCCTCCAACATGCGTCCCAAGAGGGCCCCTAGACGCAAAAATTGACCCATTCCCTTCGTAAAACGTACATTTTCAACAAAGTCGCCTTTTGGGCTTTCCGACGTTACAGGACGGCCCAAGAGGCGCCCAAGACCGCCCCAAGACGGCCCAAGAAGCTTCCAAGAGGGCCCCAGGACAGCCCAAGAGGGCCCCAAGACGGCCCAAGAGGCGCCCAAGATGGCCCAAGAGGGCCCCAAGACGGGCCCAAGAGGGGGCCCAGAGGGGGACCACGAACCGCAAGCTCGAGCCTTCCGCCCCAAGAGGCCGCCAGGAGGCCCCAAGGAGGCCCCTCAAGAAGCCCCAGGAAACCCCAGACGTCCAAGGACGCCCCCAAGACGCCCCAAGAAGCCTCCAACATGCGTCCCAAGAGGGCCCCTAGACGCAAAATTGGCCCATTCCCTTCGTAAAACGTACATTTTCAACAAAGTCGCCTTTTGGGCTTTCCGACGTTACAGGACGGCCCAAGAGGCGCCCAAGACCGCCCCAATACGGCCCAAGAAGCTTCCCAGAGGGCCCCAGGACAGCCCAAGAGGGCCCCAAGACGGCCCAAGAGGCGCCCAAGATGGCCCAAGAGGGCCCCAAGACGGGCCCAAGAGGGGGCCCAGAGGGGGACCACGAACCGCAAGCTCGAGCCTTCCGCCCCAAGAGGCCGCCAGGAGGCCCCCAGGAGGCCCCTCAAGAGGCCCCAGGAGACCCCAGACGTCCAAGGACGCCCCCAAGAGGCCCCAAGAAGCCTCCAACATGCGTCCCAAGAGGGCCCCTAGACGCAACAATTTGGCCCATTCCCTTCGTAAAACGTACATTTTCAACAAAGTTGCCTTTTGGGCTTTCCGACGTTACAGGACGGCCCAAGAGGCGCCCAAGACCGCCCCAAGACGGCCCAAGAAGCTTCCAAGAGGGCCCCAGGACAGCCCAAGAGGGCCCCAAGACGGCCCAAGAGGCGCCCAAGATGGCCCAAGAGGGCCCCAAGACGGGCCCAAGAGGGGGCCCAGAGGGGGACCACGAACCGCAAGCTCGAGCCTTCCGCCCCAAGAGGCCGCCAGGAGGCCCCCAGGAGGCCCCTCAAGAGGCCCCAGGAGACCCCAGACGTCCAAGGACGCCCCCACGACGCTTCGCGTCACCAATTTCTTCTCACAACGATTCCTGGGTCTGTGACTCGACAGAACCTAAGCGCGCGCGAAGCGCGCGCGTGGTTCTAGCTGTAATTTACGAGGGATCTTGGCCCTGTGAGCGCGAACCCAGCGTAATTTACAAGGGGTGCGCGAAACCTGTATAATTTACGAGGGATCGTGGCTCTAGGAGCGTAAATCCCGCGTAATTTGCGAGGGATCGCGGCCCTGGGAGCGTGAATCCCGCATAATTTGTGAGGGATCGCGGCACTGCGAGCGCGAACCCAGCGTAATTTACGAGGGGCTGTGACCTTGAGAACGCGAATCCAGCGTAAATTACAAGGGATCGCGGCCTTGGGCGCGCGGACGCAGAGTAATTTAGGAGGATTCGCGGCTTCGGGTCCAGCGCCTGATTTTCAGGAAATGGCGGGGGGGGGCCGAAAAGCGCCCCTCGAGTACATATCCCGATGCAGGAAAGTATCGGTTTTTGTTCTGGAGAGGGGGGGGGAACTTATGCGCAACCTCCGCGCGGCGTTTACGAGGGATCGTCGCCCTGGGAGCGCAGCGCAGCGCAGCACAACGCAGCCCCTGGCACAGCATCGTCACCATCGATATCTTCAGCATTGCCACTGCCTATCGCCCAATTGAAGTTCTTTAAAACGTTTCCATGCTTCACATCTCTACATGCCTTTCCAGGTTCGTGGGTCGATCATGTCTTGTTCCCGGAATGGGCAGAGGCCCAGGGTTCGCTTTTCCCGGAAATGGCAGAGGCCCAGGGCCAGCGAGCTCAAGCCATGTGCGCGTTACCGCGCCGATCCTTACGACTCCCTAGAGAATCCCTAGGGAGTCCCTAGAAATGCTTAGGGAATCCTTAGGGAATCCCTAGGGAGTCAGGGAAGCCCAGGAATCCCTAGCGAATCCTAGGAATCCCTAGTGAGTCCCTAGGGAATCCGAGGAATCCCGAGGGAATCCTAAGGAATCCCTAGGGGATCCTAGCAATCGCTGGGGAAGACTAAGGGTTCTATGCCCTTGCAAATCCTAGGGATTCTATGCCCCTGGGATTCTATGTCCTTGGGAATCCTAGGGACTCCCTGGGAGACGGTCGGCCCCTTGCGCCCCCTACGCCCCTGTGGCGCCCAAGCGCCCGAATTGCATATCTGCGCACGTTCCACTCTAACAGCGCGCACCTTCACAACGTGCCGATCTTATCAAGAACGTTGTGCAAAGAAGGATCGCAAGGAATGTCTTGGGAACCCCACCATTCCCTGCGAATCCTAGGCCAGGGAATCCTAAGAATCCCTCGGGAATCCTTGGGATCCTTAGGGAATCCTAGGAATCCCTAAGGGATCCAATGAATCCCTCGGGAATCCCAGGAATCCCTTAGCGATCCTAGGAATCCTACCCCTAGGGAATCAGTGAATCCTAGGAGCCCCTGGTGAATCGTAGGAATCCCGAGGGAATCTTAGAAATCCCTGCAGAATTTTGGTGATCCTAGGAATCCCGAGGGAATCAGGGAACCCTAGGACCCCCTAGGGGATCCTAAGAAACTTTATGGAATCCTAAACATCCAAAAGGGGATCTCAGGAATCGTAGGAATCCGGAAGAAACCAGGGAATCGTAGGAATCCCTTGGGAATCCCACGAATCCAGAAGGAATATTAAGAATCCCTAGGGAATCCTTAGGGGAGCAGGAAATCCTAGGAATTTCTAGGGAATCCTAGAGATCCCGTGGGAATCCGTAGGGAATCCTAGGAATCCCTAACGGATCCGAGGAATCCCTAGGACATTTTCAGGGAATCAGGGTATCATAGGACCCCCTGGGGATTCCTAGTAATCCCTAGGGGTTTACCTAGGGGAAAATTGGCTCAAGCCATTTTGGCTCAAGTTAACCGTCGGCTCGAGTTAGCCTTCGGATCGAGTAAACCTTCGGTTCTGTGTCAGTTTGTATCCTTTCCATCCGGGCTGATTGCGAATCCAGCGGCACATTGCGGATAATGTTGGGACCCTATGATGCGGTCTGAGTACCCTGATCCAGAATGCAATAGAGCACAGCACAGTTCAATGCGGCATGGCACATTTCAAATCATCACAGCACAGCACAGCAAAGCCTTTGGCACGGTACATCACCATATTTACTTTGAGCATTGCAATTGCCCGTCGACCAAGTTTGGCTGTTTGAAACATCGCCAAGCTTGAAGTTTCTATGTCCCTTTCCGGGTACGTGGGTCGACCATGTTCTGCTCTGGAGAGGGCGGGGGCGCTTTTGGACAGCCTCCGCGGGGTGGCTTCGTGTCCTCGGGAGCGCGAATCCCGCGTACTTTAGAAGGGATCGTGGCCCTGGGAGCGCGAATCCCTCGTAAATTAGAATGTTGAGGATGTCCCCAGATTTGCTCCAAAAGGGGTCCCCAGTGTTACCGGTTGTCCATGCCATTACGGCTGAGACCTTGCAGTGTACAGCCTTCCCAGGACTTGCAAGGAAAGCGCAGGGCAGTGTTTGAATTAAATAGTCTCTTACAATTTCCAGAGCAACGCAATGCCATGCAACACCACGCCGCAAGGCAAAGCAACTTCAGCAACATCAAACGTTGAGTGAGCAGTTTGATAGTAGTGCTGGGCATATGAGGACAACATTGTAGGTTTGCGTGGGCCCAGGAATATGGAAAAGTTGACTGAGCAATTTGAGAGTACGGCTCGGGATGTGCTTGTGACCGTTAAGCTGGCATGGTTATAATTGCGCGCTCGGAGAGCTCTTGAAGGATCTGGGATAAGCTCGGCGAGCGCAGCACCCAAGCACCGATAATAAGCTAAATAGCAGGCCTGTCCTACGCGGTATGACTTCGTTGCCAGCGACGGCATAGGTTGGGGGCAAACGCACGGTGATTGGTGGATGGGCGGCGGCACCAAGGAGTACACGTTTACCGCGGAAGCAGGTTGCCCGCAAACTGTTGCCCTCCAGGTTACATATGCGAAGAGGATGACACGAAACAGCCAGCAAACAGCAACCATCGGAAGTTCATCGGTTACATACAACTTGCCAACGACAGGTGGTTGGTCACCGTCATCTGAGCAGGTACTTGCCGTAAACCATTGGTTTACGCTCACAACGGGGGCCAACACGCTCAGAGTGACAGACGACGATGGTCAAAACACAAGGTTGTTCACATTGACCACATCGACTCATCAGGTAGCACGCAGCATGCAATACCATGATTTTGATCTCGATCGATATATACATGAATACACTTACACATACCATATTGGTACACACACCTACATACCCGGGTAACGAGGACCCTGCCGATGCGACCTGGAGGGGTTTTCTGGCCGTCGTTGCATCGTGGTTTGGCCCCATATGTCTGGCCCGGACAAGGAGGCGGCCTTCGTTGCACCGTGGTTTGGCCCCAGATGTCTGACCTGGATGTGGGGGGCGGCTTTCGTTGCACCGTGGCTTGGCCCCCAGATGTCTTCTCCGTAACCTACTGTGGCCGGGAGGATTGGTCTTCGTGGGTGTCTGTTCTGGCCCGCACGGGGGGCCAGCCTTAGTTGCGCCGTTGTGTGCCCCCCCCAGATTGGGAGCTTCAGCGTGGCCCCGTCCCTCATGGCCCGCCCCCCCCCTTTGAGAGGAAAAAGTCGTCAGTATTCTGTCTGTCGTGGAAAGAGTTTAGCCTTATCGCATTCTTAGTCCTAACAGCGTCCAAGATGGCTTCAGATAATAAAGATCGCAAAAGGGTCTTATGAAAGTCCCCGGCTGGCCCCAATCCTGCCCATGATGGCCCAGCCCAAGAGGGCTCCAAGCAAGACGGCCCCAAGAGACAGTCAAGATGGCCTGGAGGCGCCCCAGACGGCCCAGCAGGCCCCAAGATAGCCCAAAAAGGTCCCATGACGGCCCACAAGAGCCCCAGCTGGCCCCCAAGACCACCCCAAGACGCCGTTAAGATGGCCGCAGGCAGGAGGGAGGAAGTGCCGGAGGAATGGGGGACGAGGGGGCGGGAAGGAGTGATGAGGGATGATGTGGGGCGGAGTTAGCGGAAGGAGGCAGGCAGGAGGGAGGATCGAGGGCGGAGGAGGGGGGGAAGGAGGGAGGAGTGAGAAGAGGGGAAGCGCAGCTTCGCCTCGCACGCACGCGCGACACCAACCGAAATCGAAATCCGGTTCCCCCGTGGGGGGGTCCAGTTCACTTCGATACCACACCCAACTTCAATATCTCTCCCTCTCTCTCTTTCTCTCTCTCAGTATCCGGAGCCGACGCCTGATCATTTTCATAGTCGGCCGGCAAGGGCGCAACCCATGGTGCAAACAAGAAGCAGCATGCGGCTTTATTTTCGGCAGCCGAGTTCGCAGCCAATAGCGCAACCGTTAGCAACCCAGTGTATTTTCCTGGAAAGGGCGCGGGCCCAGGGTTCTCTTTTAGATGTTTACCCTCGGAATCGACGGGGAGAGGGCCGGCGGAATTATTCTGCGATTAAGAACGAAGTCGAAGAGGGCCGGCGGAATTGAATTGTAAGGATTTCTCGAGCCAAACGCTGGTTTTGCAGAGTTGGGGGATGTCTCGAGCGGGTCCTCGGTGGGGTAGAGACTCCGAAAGGCGCTTCGTGAGATTTTTCTTATCTCCGTAAAAGAACATGTTAAGTCTGGGGGCACGGTGCGTTGCCGCCTGATGACTAGAAATTTCTAAACGCACTTTGCTGCGCTTGCTGTCTGATGCCTCGAACAGCGATTGCCCGAGGGGGTCCGCGGCGCATCTCTTACGGGGGGCTTCGTCTGACCAGCTTGCGAACCCGCGGGCCTGCCGGCGCCCCACTGCGCGCTGGCTGCGCCACGCCGCGCCGTGCAGTGCGGCGCACCGTGCTGCGCCGCGCGCCGTGCTGCGCCGCGCGTCGCTCTCTTCCACGTCGAGCGTCACCCGACGCGTTGGCGACGGTGCCAACTCGCGAGTCCGTGGGCCGCGCCGCGCCGTGGCGCGCGCCTCGCCGCCCTGCCGCGCCGCGCCGCGCTCCCCGTCGTGCCGCGCCGTTCCGCGCGGGCGACCGACTGCGCAAACTCGTTAATCTTCGGAGAGCGGCATGCCGTCCCGCGCCGCGCGCCGCGTCGAGCCGCTCCGCGCGCCGCTCCGCTCGCCGAACTGCGAGTCGCGACCGCGTACCGCGAGCTGTGGTTTCCTTTTTGAGCACGCGAAGAGGCCCGACACATACCCAACATGTGCACATCTTTTGCACCACTTTTACACCACTTGTACACCACTTGTACACCACTTGTACACCACTTTTACACCACTTTCACACCACTTTCACACCACTTTTGCACCACTTTTACACCACATTTACCCCAGCCCGCACTTCGCGCACGCCAGGGCCTCCCGGAGATTCCGCCCGCGCCCCCAGGAAAACGGCGGAGCCGCATGGGATTAGGATTGTCATGAATCAATGCAGTTCTTGGGGGCCCACAGGGATTGGAAACCGCGCCCGGGAATACACCAGAGGGCACGAATTCAACAATCCGAAATATTTGCATCACTTTTACACAACTTTTACACCACTTTTACAAAATGTTACACTACTCTTAGACCACTTTTACACCACGTTTACTCCACGTTTACACCAGTTTTACACATCTTTTACATTACTTTTACACCACTTTTACACCGCATGTACCACGTGCCACATGCATTTGCAAAGCGCACCTGCGCCTTCTCATGGACTGGGCGCTTTTGCATTGGTGAGCTGCCGATGCGCTTGCGCGGGCCACGCGCGGTGCGCGTTGGTTTGACGTGCCAATGGCCGTCAGGGTCGCGACGGCCGTTTCTCCGCTCTTGCGCGGAACTTGCGAAGCATATGTTCCTGTGCACGTGCGCGCCAGTTGCGTATCTACCCGTTCATCTACATGAGTACCCCCCAGATTCAGGGTTGCGCGCGGGTTAGGTTGTTGGAGGCCCTGGAGCGGAACTTTCGCAGCCTTGGTGATGACAGGACCCGTTGTCCCGACTTCCTGCCGCCGCCCCCCAACGCTGGTCCCGTCGACCGACGCGACCATGTTGCAGTCGCGGGCCGCCCTGGTATTTTAGCCCGAGGGCGCGCGCGCGCAGAATGCATTGCTGCTTGTGGTCGCCGCCGCGACTTGTACATCGCGGCGTGCAGCGGCCGCGCTCGCGCGCGGATGGCACGCGAGAAAACATTGATTTGGAAAAGCAAGAAGATGATTCATATTTCCGCGCAGATGAATATAATTCCTCTGCGTGGGTCAGCCGCTTTCGCGCGCTCGCTTTGGGATTTAGGAACAGGCCCACTAGATTATCGCTGGCTGCCTTTTCGGAGTCTCTACATTCGGCGGGGGCGAACATCCAAAGGATGTCTCAGGCGAAATGCGAAATACTTCTTTTCAATTGCCCAGGTCACCCATGGGGGGTCTCTAACATGGGAGGAGGCCCCCCCTGTGTGGCCCAGACACGTGAAAATACGTGGGACCCGTTCGCGCCAGAGCGGGACAAGCGCGAAAACACGTGGGTTCCTAACGGCCGAGAGCGGGACAAGCCTGCAAACACGTGGGTTCCTAACGCCCCAGAGCGGGACAATCTTGAAAATACGTGGGTTCTTCACGCCTCAGCGCGGGCCCAGCGTGAAAACACGTGGGTTCCTAATGCCCCAGCGCGGGACAAGCGTGAAAACACGTGGGTTCCTAACGCCCCAGAGCGGGACACGT